CCCTGGAGGCTTTCCTCCAGCTTCCAGGAGGGTAAAAACGGCCTCCCGAGGCTCTGGAGGCCCTCTGGAGGCCAGAAACGAGCCCATTTCTGGCCTTCCAGAACCATTTTCTTTGCCCTCTGCATGGGCCCTGTACTTACCTGCATCCAAAATGGGTCACTTGGGGACTCCTGGCAGTGGTGGGTTGGGCGGGGCCAGCCAGGAATTGATTTGGGAGTTCTACAAAATGCACAGAATCTTAGCTAGAGGTTCTCCTTAACCCCTGTGAACCCCCAGCAGCCCACCCTTGGATAGTACCAATAGTAATAGGTGACATCCAATGGTTTTCTGAGTTCTGTTTGTAGCACAAAAGTTCTAAGCCCCCAAATAACATTGAACTTGATCACTTGGTGGGCTTTTCAATCTAATATTTTCTGATAAGAAATATCAACCCAGCCCACTAGGCGTCAAAGTTCTCATTTTTTCTTTCCTTTTTTTTTTTACTTACTATTATATCTCCCCCTCGCACAAATTGTACTCGAGGTTGAAATAAGAGGAGATCACAGATGTAGCAGATGTCACTTAAGATGTCTACGGCAATCCAGTATATTATGTTGCTGGATGTTTGAACTGGGAATACTAATCGCAGTGGGATGAACCAGCAGTTCCAGTTATAAGCAGCAGTAACTAAGAATAACCACATTAAATAGCGACGATCTGGAAAAGAAAAATAATATGCTCGCTTAAATTACTGTCATTGGGATTTGGGAATGCATTTCCCCAGAAAAAATAAACGAAGCGCCTAAGGAAAGTTTCATAACTTGCTATGTTTAATTGCAGTCTGAGAAGTGATGCATAGATTATTTATTAGTTAACCTGTATACTGAAGTTATTTTTAGAAGGTTCAAATTGAGTCACTATCTTCAAACAATTAATAGATTCCATGTTTCGGGTCAGAGTTAATAGTCAGCTGAAGTTAACAAAGGGAAAACACAATGACTTATCTATACTGCAATAGCACTTGATGTCTGCAAAGATCTTTGTAATGTCCAAAGATAATCATTGAGAATTTCACTATATCCAGCACTTCCTTGCTCTGGAAAATTGGACTCATACCTGTGAATGCATCTATGGTCTCTGGCAGTTTCAATTTTTTCATATATTCTTTCATGGATTGTTTCTTGACTATAGAACTTGGCTTCTCCTCAGGTTTGCTTTCTTCTTTCTTTTCCTCTTTCTTTTCTTCTTTGGCAGCAGGGGGTGGTGGCTTCTTTTCAGGTGCTAGGTAAGTTTAAGAGTCAAAAAGTTAATACCACTTTCTCAAATGCATCAGATTCACTGAAACTACAGAATTTTATCCTAGATCCTTTATCCTTTTGGTATTCTCTTTACAACTTCCAAAAAAACATTTATTATTGCTTTAGAAAAGGGATCTGGGCAGGATTAATCCCCTTATGAACAGAAATATATTAGAGAAGTTGTAGAAGTCTGGACCAACTGAAGAGGCGACAGACTGCTGAGGTGAATTGAACAGCTTTTATTTCAACAGAACAAGGCTCAAAGGTAACTATGTTCAATTTAGCACACTGCTCTGCTTGACAGCTTTTTATAGGGGAGCTGTCAAGCAGAGCAGGGTGCTAAATTGTACATAGTTACCTTTGAGCATTGTTCTGTTGAAATAAAAGCTGTTCAATTCACCTCAGCAGTCTGTCGCCTCTTCAGTTGGTCCAGACTTCTACAACTTCTCTAATATATTTCTGTTCATAAGGGGATTAATCCTGCCCAGATCCCTTT